CACGATCATAGTCTGTTTGGTGTTTGTGTAGATAGAACATATTCTTATTGCATCAACCTTGAGCAAACTAAGGGTCTAATGGCTTCTTAAATAAACAGCGCATTTTCCATTTTCCTCTTAAAAATCTTATTAAATTTCATACCCTTTAAAACATCTTGTGCTTCTACAACCTACCCTTGTTGGGAATTAACTGACAGGAATTCAAAGCATGAGTGAAATTAATTAGTTGTTTAATTATAAAATTAGTTTACACCTAGAGGTTCTGTTAAAATGTTATATTATGTCTCTAGAAACTCAATTAAATTGATTATTTGGAATATTTTGCAACTACTTATATTTTAATGTAGACAGCTTAATTTCTTTTGAGTAATTATAATTCTGATGTAATGCTATTGAGTATCCAGCAGGTATGGATTATCTAGCAGATAGATATTTTTTTTATTTCAGTGTTTGAAATGACACTCAAGAACGGATATGGTATAGTATAATTTTGTTTTCAAAAAGAGATCAATATTTATTTATATGAAATCCTGCTTTTTTTTGGGGCACCCATTATTTATATTAATTAGTAATAACATATTCTGACTGTATTAGCAAATTGTTGCGACATGATATATTAATCTAAAATCAAATTTGGTTGAAACAAAGTTTTATTAAAGTATACACCTAAATAACACTAACGTAGTTTCCAAGCCGCTACACGAAGAGCAACATTGCGTGCGGTTAATTATAGAAAAACGTTTTAGCTTCTTGCATATTTAATGCCAGGGCAATTATGGACAGTGTCATGGTAGTGCTATACAGGAATAATCATATACCATTAGGTAAATTTCAAATTAGGTACTTTTCAAACCATCAATTGTAAAGATTTTTTTATTATCTCTAGTTAGAATGCTGATATACAGGATGTTTTTTTTTAATGAGAAACACCTCTGCATCTACTATAACACTAAACTCACGCTATAGGTTACTTAGAACTTTTTTAAAGATAAATTATAGAACATTTAAATAATTTAAACGTATGTTGCAGAAGCTCAGAAGTAACTACATTTTTTAACGAACAAACAAAACTCTTATTACAAGCATTTCAAAGTTTCTGGACATTCATTTAAAAATAACGTTTCCTTATTTTTCTCGTATTTTTACAATTTGACCCATCATATTTTTGCCTGTTTTGCTGCTGTTTATACTAATATCCAACGCACTTGTAGTCATATAATTCTACCCCAGTACTGTAAACGAAATAAATTACTTAGCTATTCTGCGACCATTACGTATTTAGATTTTCGTTTGGGAATGCTGAGATCAACTGAAGTGAGAAATCGTGACAAATTATCATTGATTATGTGACACAAAGTGCAGCAGTTTCATTTGTTTGTAATTGAACTGTATTTTACTGCAACTGAGATGTTACTCTGCACCCACTGTTTGGGATCAATTGACAGAATGTTGTGAGCTGACATATACGCGATCGTGTATCTACGTAAATTTCAGAGAATATAGTAATAATTATGAACGTCGACAATAATTATAATTCCAAAATTTTCGCACGAAAAGTTGCCAGCGCAATTTTTTGTTTATAATACACAGGGAGGAGTGTTTCTTCGCCAAAATTAACACCAAAAATTCAAATGAACCAGTGACCGGCTCTGATTCATACGAAGATACATACATACCTATAGCAGCTTGAGGATAACTTGTCCACAAATATTGTTTTTATATCTTCTGAACTAGTTGAATATACCAAATTTGGAGGAACACAGAAAAAATTTATTACCAAGAAAGCTATGTTTGTGATCAGATTTACGTGTTTCACAGATTATTGTTTAAAACCTCTAAAGGAGGTATTATATTTACTAGTATTACGTATTCAACATGTAATGCATATAAATTAATGAATAGTATAATGCTTTAAATGTGAAAATGATTTATCAGAACTGTTTTCGACGACTTGTACTTGCTAATAGTAACACAGTGCCACAAAAAACGTGGGATAGGCCATGGACTAGACTAGTGTGTCCCACAGTATTTTGAGCAACTGAATCTGAATTGTAAAGTTGTAAATTCCCGTATCAGTTCGTTTTTTTTTTTCACTGTAACATCAAAAATCCCCTGTCGGTTTTGGAATGAAATTGTCAAATTGAATCAAAGAATACTACAGGATACACTGGTCTGGTCACTGGATACATTGGTCTGTCCCATTTTTTTCTGTTTGTAAAGCTGAGTAGTTCTTACACAGTGATATTTTTTAATGGTGCTCTAATAAATCTATGTCCTTTAGAAAAATTTTTCAGGAGTAATATCTTTTTCAGTCATTACACTCTTCACTGGTACATGGTCAAAACTTGTATTTTCCAAAAAATAAAACGTCGGTATTTGTTTATCAAGGTTGTTTAGTACACGCTTCTTTGGGGTTGTAAATCCCAAAGACTTAAAATTGAATTTTAATGGCTGTGTACCAAACTCGGCAAACGACAAGAAATAGCCCTTTGAAACAAAGATGGATTTATTTCAATCTACCTATTTAACAAATTAACGCTATCTAATGATACACGATTAAGTAAAATGGCGGCTGCTGTTGTCCTCGGCTGGAGCTACAGGAATAATAGGTGCTAGGTGCAATTTTGATTTTTGAAGGGTAGTAGTAAGACCTGCTGGCGGCTGAAGTTTGACACCTGTACTGTTGGGGTTGGTGTTGGCGGAAATTCTAGGTTACCTAACACTGGAGGTTTTCGATGTGGGAGCGTCGACGTGCACGTATACTCAAGACTGTTTTTTAGGAACTACCCTTAAGCTCGACCGACGCAGCTTGTCGGCGTACTGTCTTGGTAAGAGGGGAACAGGGTGCGGACGGTTGGTTTGGGTTCGGATTGGAATGCGGACAGGGTGAGCTTTGGGTTGCATACGGGTGAGGACTTAACAAAGGTAACTATGAAAAAGTGGGCCTCGCGCAACTCATTTTTTTATAAATACAAAACATTAATAACCGATGCGTATACTAAATTTGCTATATACTGGTTTAGAACATATTTGAAAAAATATACATACAGTCAGTAGGTCATATCCAAGTTAGTTTTATATTAATTTTGACTCTAGAATTTTGAAATCGAATTAAAGGATCTATATCAATATCTATATCAATATATCTACATATATACATGATAATGATAATGCTAATGATAAGTTTTGCCTAACTGTAATGACGTATTCTACCGATGAAACTAATCAACTTTTGCCCAATAAAAATTTTTGATAGGCCGCTTCCCTACGGAGATACAGGGTGTTAACAGTTTCAAAATTTATATGATTTGTACTTTTTGCAACTTGGTACTTGGTACTTAAATATCTTCCAAAGACCAGTAAATTTTACGAATACTTTACAAGTAGATTTTCTTACCACAAATTGATTGTACAGTTTAAAAACATTTAAAATTAGTGGCGTACGATTTTTTTTTTTTCAGAAAAGGTCTCCTACTTCCCCAATAACTATATCACTGGCGTATATTTTAGAGTAGTCCCTACTAAAAAAATGTCATCGCCCAAATTTTATCACTCAACCTTTTATGCCAGTGACGTTACAGGAAAAATAATATAATAATAATAAACTTTTAACACCCTGTATCTTTGTAGGGAAGCGTCCTATCAAAAATTTTTATAGGGCAGACGTTGATTATTTTCATCGGTAGAATATGCCATTAAAGTTTGGTCAAACTTATCATTAACACCCTGTATATTTCGTGTCAATGAAAACAATCCGTTATAATACCTACCGAGTGAATTGAATAGCCTGACATGATTTACCTCGTGCAAATTCTCTTTCAAAATTGCTAAAAATTGACAAATTTTAAAAACACTAAGAACATGTAAAAATTTTGACAACTTTTTAATTAATAAAATATTTTTTACTCATATAAAATCCTGCGTTTCTTGTGGGACACCAAATATACAGGGTGCGGCATTAGTGCTTTGAAGTACGATATCTCCGTTATTATAGAAAATATCAAAAAAGTTATTGACAAAAATTGTAGCGAACTTAAAACTGCACATTTTCGTATATACAGGATATTACGTATTACCAGAGTGAACCATACTATTTTTTAAATGGGACACCCCATATATTATTTCAAATTTAGATTAAGTTCATCTCTCCCATGCCTACAATATAGGGTTTAAGTATGTTATTTCAAAAGTTATGGTCAATTGTATGTGAAAATCATTCCCATTTCAGCGTCCTATATACCCTAAACAGAACAACTTAACAATAATTTTTTGCAGGTATAACTTTTTGATAGTGGTATAGTTTTACGAGAAAGTCATATTTCTTTATTATTGTAACAGTTGAATATAGGGCGAGCCAATACTCGAGCACATAATTTTCTCAATTTTTTTAAACGAATCGCCCTGTATTTTATTTTAAAAACTGAAAATACACTTTATGTTCTTCCATTTTTATAAAGCATTCCCTATAGCTAAAATCATAAATTTCTGAAATATTTACCATTTTATAACAAAAAGAGAGTTTTTAAAAAAATCATATTTTAACAAGTTGGTTAATATTATAAGTTTTATAACAATTTGTCACACTGTCATTTGCTCACGGCCAACTTGTTGCCGCACCCTGTATGTAATAAATAATTATTTTCGAACTTACCTTGTAATTCTAACTTCTTGAAACCATTGTTAACAGCAACGTATAGTGTTCTCAAATTATAGTAATGTCTTTCTGAATCATTGCGATTTTCCTTTTTATTTTAAAGAAATAGAGTTCTCAAAATTTGAGGGAATTATTTGAAACGATAGTTGCAAAATATATACAGCAATCAATTTTTCATAGGAACTTTCAAAATCATACATGTTTTATATTAGATAATTTTCTTATTCTTAATTGATTTTCAGAAAGCTTTTAACTTTGTTTTTTCATGATAATTAAATTTTTCTTATTGCATCACCGTAAAATATATATTAGGGAAACGTCATAAACAAAGCAATAAAAATCAGTATAGAGTAGGAAACATTTATTTTTAAAATGTTTACATAATACTTAATAATGCAAAAATATGTGAGACGTGCTGAAAACATCAAGTCAAACTTTATGTGTCGTTTAAAATTATCAATGTCTTGTGCCCTTTAAATCTTCGAACAAGTATCTCATATATAATTTATAAACACATGCCTTACAACATATTTGACTGCCCTGCAGCTTCTTTGGCTTTCACAAAATAAGTGAGCAGGTCAATCGGCAACGGAAACACTATAGTAGAATTCTTCTCCGCAGAAATTGTATTCAGGGTCTGTACAATTAAACGACAATTGAATCTCATGTTTGGTTACAATCTGTGTGATACACTGTAAGCTTTTGTGAAAAGAATTAATAAAACACAAGTGTGAAAGAAAGGGAAGGAACAATGAGTAGAAAGCATGATAGAGCTATCCCTGAAGCATGAAAATGAACTTCGTTATTGTATTTATGTGAAGAGTAATTCAACTAAAGATAATGTAGTGCTTTGAGAAATACTGTTTGTCATCTAAGCACGTATTACGCATTGTAATACATTAATGTTAGAAATCTTTTTAAACGATAATACAAAAGTAGACTGTATGACTAGTTCATTGTTTTTTTTTACATCGACTACCAATTAATAAAACATGAAATATCATACGGTCGATATACACAAACATCATTTGAGTGTCCATTTATGTAGGCATTTTGCACGTGTACATATAAAATTGGATTAAATAGTAATTACTCATATATATACACAATAATATCTATAACTTATCTACTTGTGCAACTTGAAATAAATAAATTTTATTAAAAACATTATTCCTTTACAAGTTACTACAAATACACCTCCAATTTACTATTAACATTTAACAATTTTATATTACCATTATTGTAAGTATATTCAGCCTTGTTATAGTTCTTGGCACTATAATTAAAAGATAAAATGATATTACATCAACGCCAATCACGAGCTCTTTTGGCATTGTATATAATATAAAATTATGGCTTATGTGTTTACTCTCAAATTATTCTATGACGTCTTGATCAATGCTTCTGCTTTCTTGTTACTTTTTTGTATTTACCTATAATCTATAAGATTTCTTAAAATTTCCTATAAAATTCAGACATAAAACTTGACCCAGACATGGTTGGATTAGAACCCGTTGTCCTTTAATTATTACAGAAACAAAAGCGTAAAATATATTTGGTCCCAAAACTTAAATTACTATTAAGCAGCATTATCAATGTGTCAAAAAAGTAAAAAATTTGGAAATGTGGAATCTACTTCTATGTTACGGATTATATTAAGTTGTACCAACGAATTTTTTAAATATTGCTCTATACAGGGTGATTTAAAAAAACCGCTGACAGACTTCTAGGGTAAGTAATACATGAAAAATTAAGACGAAAAGTCTTAATAAACATAGGGTCGCAAATGCCTCATTAACGAGATACAGGGCGTCAAAGTTTCCGTAAAATTAAAGCGTAAAAATGACAAAAAGAAGCTATAATCTAGTTTACTTAACTCACATGTACACATTGACATTAGTGACAGGCGATGTTTAATTTTATTTTGAATAGCACAAGCCTACTATGTGAAACTAAAATGAATGAAAATAAAATTAGATTTACAAATTTTCTACAAAGGTGTTTCTCTTAAAAATGGTTGCTTTAATCCAAATTTTGCAAGAGACCAATTCGATAGCCAATTGAACACTTTACACGAAAATAGTGCCCTTTTGACAAAATTGACCCGGTTTCTACGACACTGCTGCTCATAAAATTTTGAGCAGTACATCAAACGTTGGTCTTAAGGTGCTAACTACGCATAACAAATTTGAAATAGAAATGATCAGGCATTTTGGAATTATTGCAGACAATGTTTAATTTTACAGAAATTTAGACGCCCTGTATCTCGTTAAGGAGGTATTTGCGACCCTATGTTTATTAAAACTTTTCGTCTTAATTTTTTATGTATTATCTACCCTAAAAGTCTGTCAGCGATTTTTTGAATCACCCTGTATAATTAAAACGTCTTTCAAGTTTCATTTTACCTCTTTCAATAAATTCTCAATTATATCGTTCTATCTGTATAGAATCAAAATCACACGAGTTTCAAGTTTGTCCAGCCTTTATTTTAATAATTTTCGCTTTGGGTTTGTTCAATATAATACGTTTCATTTCTAAGTAATATCCTTTTCATCAGTTTTGAAAGATGAATTCAGTGTGTCCCGTACTGCAGTTCATCTTTCATTTATCTCTTCTTGCAGTCAAAAGCAGATCATCAACTTTTCATGACCATGTTTCAAAGTTTCTCATATTGAAAACACTATATTCTGCTTTTTTCCTGCTGAAGGAATGCCATATCTGGTTTTATGGTATATTTTAAATCGTACATCTAATTCTAAATTTCTACTAACCACGACAAAAGGAATTCTGTCAATTTTTTTTGTTATTTTATCGATGTTTTTCTTGTAGGCAAAGAATATATCGAGCACAGCAGTTTACATAAAGCTTTAATAGTTAGCAGTATCAATTCTGATATGTCCTTAAGCAATAAAGATTTTAGGTACTCTAAATTTTACATGTAACAGGTTCCTACGACAATAGAATGATCAAATACCTTTTGGAGGTACTTAACGTTTACAAAATGCTTTGAAACCTAGAGGTACAGGATATATTATGGTTGAGCTCTTCCCTATACAAATTTTGGTGAGTGTCTAAGGAAAAACAATAATTGAGAATTAAAACCATGCGTCTTTATTATAAAATTTAGATAATTACATATTATTATTAAAAATAAAAGCAATGTGCTTCTCAAACAACAAATTAATCATTTAAGAAAACATATCAAGCAGCAGCCAAATTAGGACAACAACAGTACAAATAAAACTGGCCAAATAGGAGGTCAACAAATATGTGTAATGTTATCTTGTATTTTAAGGATAGGGATTGGTTTAGAGCAAAGTAAAATACTTGGCCAAACTTCAATGAATGGTTCTACAAAATAAAAATAAAACTTAAAAAGGTGCAGTTTGAAGAGTGTTACAGATTGATATAAAACAAATACAAGAAAACAACTGAAATAATTTCATAAAAATTTAGTATGCAACCTAAGTATCTGGTTATTCACAGACTTTATTTATACTGTGTATAATTATCGTTAAACCTGCATTAAACCGAATTTTTATTAATTTTGAACAATTTGAAAACTAGACGTTTTTGAGAATTATTTTTATTGTATCGTTTGACCAAAAATTTTACCTACACACCGCACACTTATAAAATCAAAAACTATATAATACACATGCTAAAGTAAAATATATCCTTCAAATTTTGAGGCAGCAATCAGTGACCTGACATGTGAATTAAAAATGACATTTCAACCAAAACATTCAAAATTACATTTAAATGTTATAAGTATGGTTGCATCTGAACCTAATATTAATGAACTATGATGCTATAAAAATATGTAATTTTAATAGGCTCCGTCCCGTTTAAAATTACATTTTAGCTATGTAAATAATTCGAATAAAGCTTCTTATTCTATACGTTGTCCAGAATTACCATATCCAAACTGATATTATAGTGCCAGGGTATTTGCGGTAACTTGTATTAAAATTGATTCTGTTTACATTTAACAATATATTTATTTTAGTGTATATATATTTAACGCTGTAATATTATTATTTAGGTCCATTTATTTGTACATAACACAGAATATTTGATGGCTTTATCATGACCACAGCCTGTTATTAGTTTCGAGTATTTTTATTTGAAAATAACAATATAATGTTATTAACGAAGTTATCAAATAAGGAATGTGCTAGATGTGTACTGCAATATCTTGTGCTGGAAATATGTGCGAGTAGTGCACGTAAGGTGGCTACGAGTTTGGTCTATAAATTTTTAAGATTCATTGTCTACACATATCAAACTTTTAACCACATTGTATACCTACATATAAATAACCAATCACACTGCACTACTAAAAGTAAATACTTTATATTGAAGAATCCAATTAAAAATATTCTTTAATTTATTTTATTTATAATTTATTTTACCATTTTTATTTAAATTCGTTTTCTAAATATAGAAACATTGATTTTGACAATTCTTTTATGCATTTTTTAATATTAATATTACATTTACAAATAACGATAAATAATTAAAAAATGTATATTCCTTATACTACATACATTTAGATGCGTTCATACTGCTTAGTAACAAATATTAATATTCTTGTAATGTCCACGGTACAGTTGATCATAAACTATTTGACAGATAATTTCCATATATATGCTATAGAATGTAGATTACACTCACTACATCTATCATATTTTCATATACAAAACACAAATTTAAATTATTTATTAGGCTTTTATTAACTTTTAAGATATTAATTTTTTATCAGCATGATATTTAATGTTTTTTTTTATTATGTGTTCATAAACACCGACGATAAATGATTGGTCCTTGTCACTTTACGTTTGATACAGACCTTTTTGAGTTACTTTTGAACTATTTTAGCATTGAAACTTATTCCTTTGCTTCCATTGCCTTCATAAAATAAGATAGTATGTCAATCGGTAGAGGAAATACAATGGTCGAATTCTTCTCAGTGGATATTGTGTTGAGTGTCTAGTGGAATGTTAAGTATCGATTAATATCTCTGGATAATTTAGGTACTCATCGATAATGTGGATTACTCGTTCACATTTCAGCGTTAAATGAATCGTGACCTGACTGTATACTTCCCAAAAGTGGTAACGAACATAATATAGCACCATTTGCTATTTTTTACATGCGACATGAGTTTGTTGGTACATATATGTAATATTTTGTCAAATGCAACAACACGCATCAAATAAGAGAAGTAAGTAAACAAGAATATACTTTTACTTTGAATCTGTGACATTACTAAAATAATTTTTAACTGATTTGTGGATACCAAATATACGTTCAATATTTTTTTAGTTTATAATAAATACAAAGCGCATATCTACAGACATGATCCTAAAATATTAATTTATATATTATTTTTTAGTGTGCATTACATAACATGTTTATACTGATTAATATAAGGGATATAACATAGAAAACCAACAAAATTGAATCTAAAATGTATTTTGAATCCGAATCTATTGTTAGTTTTACTCCAGCATTGACAGGATTTGTGTAAATCCCAAGAAATTATTATTTGTATTAGATAAAGCCTTAATCTTATATATTTTAATAAATTGAACACTGGTTAGTCTTCCTGGCGCCTCAAGGTTAAGTTATTCC